CGAACCGTTGCAATGGAGATTCGCCGGGGCTCTCTCTTCCTCTCTCTCTCTCTTTCTCCCCGCCGCGCCCGAAAGAACAATTTCCATCGGCTGTTTATTAATCCCGCCAAATGACCGTGTTTAATTTCGAAAACACTCCGCCGACGATATCCGTTCGGTCGCGCGCGATACAATCGATATTGAAAATTTGATTTTATCGTGTCGGATATCAGGTCCCCCTTCCCCCCTCCTACGCCGCCGCCGCCGCCCTTCGAGGCTGCCAGATCGGCGCGTCTGGGTGCGTGCGCGTGGGCGTACGCATCGCGCGCGCTCGAAAACGCCGCCGCCCGCATCGCACACGGGCCCTCGAGCCGCAACGTTGTTCCGAGAAATCGACGAGAGATCCGTCGACGCGATCCGTCGACCCGCCGCGGCGTCCCCGTCGCAGCCTTTCCAATGGCGCCCGCTGGACAAAACCGAAAAAATTTCCAACAAAAATATTCACCCCATTGTCGATACGTATTCGCGGCGCTCGCAGATTTCGTCCCGTCGAACAGTCGTTTCGCCCTCTTTTTAATGGACAACGGCGTCCGAGAAACTGTTCGAACACCGTTCGCTGTGTTCGGGAGCGACCCTGGAAAGGCTGGTAGAGCTTTGTCAAGACCGGAAACACGCGTTGAATTCGATGATCGGAGCTTCCACTTTGCGACGAGCACGCTGTATCGATCTCTTTTCGGTGTTTTATCGAGCTTCGAATGAATTACGTACTGCACAGTTGACGGTTATTTGTGATCCTGATCCTGGGACAATGTTCTTAAAAAATTTAATTTCTTCCAATTTGCAGTTTTAAAATTTTTCAATTTTCAATTTTCAATTTTTTAATTTTAAATTTTTCAATTCTCAATTTTTCCATTTTCAATTTTTTAATGTTCAGTTTTGAAGAAATCCTATATTATCCTGTGAAATCCTAAAAATCCTCGTCGCGTACTTGTTAACAAAATGTTATTGTCAGTTCTGCAAATGTTAAATGTTTTTTCTTTTTTATTTGAAAAAGGCGGACTCCGGATTTTCTGCGTTTACGGGCGGAAACGGGTGGATGCAAGAGAAAACGGTAGAAAGATTAACACGATCCATGCGTATTTATTTAATGCACGACAAAAACCGTTTCTTGTAATAAGTTTGAAGGCTGGCGTCGAAATAATGAGGCATTATAAAAAATGCATGTAGAAAAAAAAGCGCATGCGAATCGAAGCAAATAAGTTTGCTCAATTATTGTATATACAATAATTAAATAACGGCATATAATAAAGAAGTCGAATAAAAAAAGTCTCGGCACGGAACGCGTTCAAAAAAGCTAAGAATGTTGTTGCACTAATTTCACCGCATTAAAATTATTAAAGAAAGAAAGATGCGTTTATGGCGTAAATAGGCAAGTGAAACAGAAAGTACAAAAATTAGGAGAATTTTATATATAATAATATAATACTATATAATATAATTTAATAATATTACTATATATATATATATATAATATAGTAATAATAGTATAGTATAATAATATAGTATAATAGTATAGTATAATAGTAATAATATAGTAATAATAATAATAATAATAATATTACTATAATATTACTATATATAATAATATAATAATATAATATAATAGTGTTATTACTATACATAATAATATATATTTTACTATATACAATATAATAATATAATAATATAATAATATAATATAATAGTGTTATTACTATACATAATAATATATATTTTACTATATACAATATAATAATATAATAATATAATAATATAATATAATAGTGTTATTACTATACATAATATATTACTATATATAATAATTACTAAAACACATTGAAAGTATTATTCCATCATTATATAGTCAATTTCGTATTTCATAAACTCAATATACAACTCGGTTCATTTTAGACGATATCAACGATTTCGATTTTTTTTTTATTAAATATAACTACGTACACTTAAATATATTAAATTTGAAGCGCCACTATCAGAGATTTCCGTGAGCCGCGATTCCTCATTTCCTGCCACGTAAACGCAACCGAAAGAAATCGTACGTCAAGTCTTGACAGATCGTCGCGAAGCAGAAGCTCTCGCCGCTTCGAATCCATAATGGATTCGTGTGTGAACAAAAATTTTCCAATGTTTCCGCGAGAACGATCCAGTTCGTGTCACTTTCCAGATAAGGAAAAAAAAAGGCCGGCCTCTCGGCTTCCCGATTCTCGTCGTATCACGCGAGAACGAAGCGATGGGCGAGGCTGAATGATGGATCGCGAAAGTAGAGGCTCCGAAATTGAAGCTCCGTTTCGAGATTATGAGAGAATTCGCGGCCACGACGGTCGAACAAGTGGACACGTAAAGCTCGCGCCATTTTCACCGATAAAAATATGTAAATAACGGAGCATAAAGAAGACCGTGCCGCTGCAGATACGAAAGGAAAATTGTGCGCGCGCGCGCGCGCGATGCATTGTGACATATGTGCGCGCGTAGAAAATTGCGCGCGTGCGATGAACACGGTTCGCGAACGCGCGCGTTCGCGTTTTGCTCGATTAAATCGTGAAAATGATCGATTTCGATGTGAATCGTCCCCGTATAACCTTGAAAAAGATCATCTCGGTGCCCTCGAATCCGATGCAAAAGCGAAAGAGTTGTTGCACAACGAAAAATCATTGTCGTCGATGCAAAACCGCACTCATCCCCCCCACATCCGAATCGCCGCGGCGAAATCCTTATTTTCAATTTAGAGTTGCACGCGTCGCCAGAATCCTAATTATCATCCAGCAACGAACTTCTTATTTTCAATCCGGAGTTGCACGCGTCGCCTGAATCTTAATTATCATACGGCAACGGGACCGTCGCTTTCAGTCTGCAGTTCGATTTGATCTGTTTTGTTAACGCGCACAAGCCCTTTAGTATAACCATAAGAGAGAAAAACGTAACGGATAACGAAGAACGATGTACGGATTGTAACTCGTAAATTAACTATACATATTACGTTCTGTCGGAGAGAGGCGAAGGCAGCGAAAAAATTCACTCCGTTGCAGCAACAATTCATATTCGTGACAATGCTATTTATTCATTTCTTAATTTATTTGTTCGTTGCAGCGGCAGGAACCCGTCAGTATTATATATTATTTATTTCATTTGTCAAATAGGTACGCGAGGTCAACCATTAGTTATAAAATCGTAAAAAGAAAAAGAAAATTAATAGAGGATTTATGCTGCACTGATTTTTCGTTGTGCAACAATTAGGAACGTAAGCAACACGCGCGATTTTGAAACGACGACAACGATCGTTCTCTCGCTGTTTAAACAGCGACGATTATAATTCGGGCGACCCGTGAAAATTCTGAATTGGATAGAACGATTTTCGCGCTGCGCGACGATTGGAGTATTTATAATAAAGAACGCGTGTATAATTTTGCATCGACGACGACATCGATTTTTCGTTGCGCGAGAATTCGAATTTGAGCAACGAGTGCAGCCTTGCATCGACGACGTCGATTTTTTCGTTGTTAGACAATGCGAATATTAGCTCTCTCTCTCTCTCTCTCTCTCTCTCTCTCTCTCTCTCTCTCTCTCTCTCTCCCTCTGGAGTCCAGAAGCATCATTGCTGACCCATGTTTTTATGTGCAATGTTTATACGTATAACTAATAACTGAATCGCGGATCTTTATGCAAAATAAAAATCGACTGCACCAATTGCAAAATGTAGGAGCCAAGTGCAGTCTTCTTAGTCTTGTTAGTGCAGTCTCCCCTAAATAATCTTAACCCTTTGCGCTCGAAGCCATTCGAACTGTAAATCTAAAATCATTTTTCTGACTCATATTATTTCCATTTTACACGACGAAGCGCATATTATGCATACGAAATTGAGTCTTGTGACTCGAACATCAGTTACAGTTTTAACAATTTTTTAGATCTGTGCTTTGACAGTATAAAAATTATCTTGGAACGCGATGCAACAATTTTTTTTCTGCTGCTTCAGAGTCGCCACTCGAGTGCATAGGGTCAATAATTATTAACATTAACATATCCGCATTTTTACTTTCTTTCAATGTTTTTTCACCGTCCCATGCTCCGCCTATTCATTTCCCCATAAATGCATAAAATCCGCAGTATACCGATAACCCTGGCGACACTCGGCTCATCCGATTTCGATGCTCCTCCTCGTTTTGTTAGGTCGGCGCTGCCCTTCGGAACCTCATTCTACTCATCCAGATTTAGTGCGATTGACCTTTTTTGCTGGATATTTCAACTTGTCAACAATAACAACGGCAAAATAGACGTATTTGCGTCTCCCTTTCTTCCAGAATCGCATAGAACGCGTTATGAACTTTTTAATAGCCTGAATCGTTTACTTAGTGCCTGTAACCGATACCGTGCGTTCAACTAGATCTCTTTTGCAACCCTTATATTTCCTTCAAGCTTACTGCTCTAAATGCTATCCGCCATTCGACCTCATCTCCGCTCACAATACAATTAAATTATATTTTACGTACACTTTTTTCTTATATTTGAGCTCTTTCTCTTCCTTTTCCTAGCCGCAAGTTTTTACACTTTAACCGCCCTTGTGCGACCGTCCTCCCTATTATCATCAATACATTAAATTAATATTATTATTATTGTTATTCCTGTCAATGTCACAGAATTTGAAACAAATTTTGATAAAGCATTTACCCAATTTACCGATTCGCTGATTCTCTGCCAGTCGAAAATAAGATTTTTGTTCTCCTATTGTAAAAACGGTCGTTCACCCGTATAAATAAATAAATAAATAGATAGATAGACAAATAAGCAACGCGTGTAGCTTCAGATCGACAACGATTCCGCCGCGATGGGACAATCGGGGGACGTAAGCCGACGATCGACGATCGTTCGCGACGTGGGAGGAGCCGCGGCGAGTCGAAGGGCGCTCGATCACCGGTTCGTCGGAGCGAAATCCCGGATCGAGGGTGCATGCGTGGTAGGCGATCGCTCACCTGAATCCAGTAAGGCAGATAAAATCCGGAACAGGCGAGAATCGACGCCACGGTGGACAATGTTGCCCACAGCACGCACAACACTGTCATCTCATCGGTTTAAAAGCGCGTCCCTCCCTCCTTTGTCTGCTCCGTTTCACCGGTTTGTCGGCCTCCCGCCTCCCTCACCTGGTTCCTCGCTGGTTCCCGCGGCTTCGACCTCCACTTTACTCGCGCATGATTAGCGTACGTTCCGAAAACTGGCAGCAGCAGCCGCCGCCGCTCGTGGATCGTCGACCCGGCTACGATCTTCTTCTACTCGGCTCGACGCCGCGGTCCTCTGTTCGCGCGTGTCTCTTCCAATAATACCCGGCCACTCCTCCTCTCTCCCTCTCTCTTTCTCTCTCTTTCTCTTTCTCTTTCTCCCTTGGTCTCTGCGTCGACGAGAGAGTCGAGGTTTCCTCGCGGCTCGGAATTCGCGGCCAGAAAGCCGCCGATTTCAGTAGCACGAGGCTTCGGCTGCGTCGACGATCTTCTGACGAACGTTCAGGTGCGTCGACGATCCTTCAAGGAAGGTTCAACTGCCTCGACGATCTTCTGACGAACGTTCAGGTGCGTCGATAATGCTCTCAAGAATGTTCAGATGCGTCGACGATCTTCCGACGAAGGTTCAGTTGCGTCGACGATCCTTCAAAGAAGCTTCAGCTGCCTCGACGATCTTCTGACAAATGTCCAGGTGCGACGACAATGCTCTAAAGAATGTTCAGATGCGACGAAAATCCTTCAAAAAAGGTTTAGCTGCCTCGACGATCTTCTGACGAACGTTCAGGTGCGACGACAATGCTCCAAAAAATGTTCAGGCGCGTCGACGATCCTTCAAGGAAGGTTCAGCTGCCTCGACGATCTTCTGACGAACGTTCAGGAGCGTCGATAATGCTCTAAAGAATGTTCAGTTGCGTCGACGATCTTCCGACGAAGGTTCATACGCATCGACGATCCTTCGAAAACTGTTCAGATGCGTCGACGCTGTTGCGACGAAGGTTTAGTTGCGTCGGCGATGCTCCGATCAAGGCTTAAGTACGTCAACGATCCTTCGAAAACTGTCCAAGTGCCTCGACGATGCTCCGACGTAGGTTCAATTACGTCGACGGTCCTTCGAATAATGTTCAGACGCGTCCGACGATGCTCCGACGGATGTTCGCGCGCATGGACGATCCTCCTCCGAAGGCTCGAACGCGTCGACGATCCTTTAAGAACTGTTCAGACTCTCCAATGACGTTGCAATCAAGGCTTAAATAACGTCGACGATCCTTCGAAAACTGTCCAAGTGCGTCGACGATCCTCCGACGAATGTTCAAACGCGTCCAACGATCCTCCGACGAATGCTCAGACGCGTCGACGATCCCTTAAAAACTGTTCAGTCGCGTCGACGATGCTCCGATCAAGGCTCAGACGCGTCGACGACCCTTCGAACTCTGTCCAAGTGCGTCGGCGATCCTCCGACGGAATGCTCGGACGCGGCGACGACGCGAAATCGAGCAGATCGCCGACAGCAGAAGCGGCAGCGGCCTCCGTTGCGGATCTTCGCGGGCAGAAACGCAGCGAGCGTTCGGATCCGACGAGCGTGGTTCTCGTGCAGCCGGAGAAGCGGAATCGAGCGGAACGGAGCCGAAGATCCGCAGGGCCTCATAGGCGTCGCGGCTGGCTGGAGAACAGGCAGATGCTCGTGGTGGTCCTCCTCCTCCTCCTCGTCCTCCCCGTCCATCCGAGGTATTTCGATGCGAGGGGAGAGCGCATCGCGGGGTCCCGTGGGGCGAGACGAGAATACACCGCGTTTATAGGTCGTTTCGAGGAAGCCTCCGGACGGTCTCTCTTCTCACGGTCAAGGTTCGCGCGGCCACGGTGCCGTCGGCGCGGGAAACGGTCGGGCTGCGTCGGCGACCGGCGCGTATCCTCGAACGTGACCGGATCGAATCGGATCGGATCGTTCAACCGTGCGGAATTCGATCGCCGTTAATTACAGCCGGCGAAACGGAGTCACGTAGCCGGCCCCTGGGCCCCCGGCGGACGTTCGCCGTGCCGCCTCATTCTCGGCGGTAGCGCGCACTGATTAGCCCGGTGTTCCGTGACCCTCGCCGAAGGACTCGGCGGCGGAGGTCGGGGGCGAGCTAGTGGAACAGGTCGACGAAACGGTCGGACACCGGTTCGCTCGGATCGCCGGCTCTTGTTCGGGCTTCCGCGCGAGATTCGGACGACCGGGTTTCGAATCTGGGTCGGCGATCGCCGAGATCTGGGAGGGGGGGCGGGGAGAACACAGTCCGGCGACCCGCTCGCCGCCGCTTCGTCACTGCGACTAACCGAGAGCGGGCCGGACTCCGGTTACGCCGCCGTCTATCGCGCCGCTTCGCCGAGCCTCCCACTCTACAGCTATTTTGCCAGGCATGCGTGCACCGTGCGGCATGCGGAGGACGCGTGCCGCGACTGTGGCCGCGCGGTGCGGCTGCGGCGCCGCCGCCGCCGCCGCTGCGACCCCGACGCGAGACATGCCCCGGCCCAGCCCTCTTCGGTCCCAGATGTGGCCGCACAACCTGGCTCTGATTGCTCGACGCCGTAGACTTTCCTGTGCGATGAGTCTGTGGATCCTTCGAAAGCTTCGGATACAAAATTCTTGTTCTATTTTCGTTGAGTATATTTCGAGTTCTTGCTGGTTTGCAGTAAGTTCTTCCTAGTCTTTTTTTAGTTTGTAAACAAAAATGAATTATTATTTGGGAGAAGTTATATCGAAAAAGCGTTCTGCTCTTTTTCTAGCGATTATTCTTTGTATTCTCTGCTTGTATCGACAAATCGATACATTCTCCTTAAACAGAAAAATCGTTGTATTCTGCATGCATTTAGAAATTATTGTACTTTATTTATATCAAAAATCGTTCTACTATAGTTCTATTAAGAAATCGTGCACTGTACTTGCATCGAAGAATCGTTCTACTACTCTAGTTGTATTAAAACATTATTTACTGTAATCAGCTACCGATCGCAGACACGGTGAAAGAACATTTTCATACAGGAAGATTACTGTAAATTTTTGTTTAAATTTACAAGTTTTTAAATTTTTACTCTTAGTGTAAATTTTTCGATCGTACTTTCAGATCCTCGAATGAAGAACAATAATTAATATCATAATATTGGCTGCAATATATGTATTATGCAGTATAGTATGAATGTCGAATGATAATCTAATGAATAGTGAATGATAATTGATGATCCATAGTATACTGTGATTTGATCAATTTGATTCTTCGCGAGTCATGCAACGAACATTATCAAAAAACGTGACGTAGATTTTCGCTTTCATTTCGCACTTGCATCCACTCTATAAACCGCCTATACTTTTTTCTTCTTGCCATTTCATAACGAACGAGTAACTTCCTATATTCGATAAATAAAATAAACAATAATAGTTTTTTCATTGTAATAGTTTTCTACCCCTGCGACGAACAAATACCGAAGCAAATTTTTTCGACGCTCTCGCCTCCCTCCGACGAGACCATAATGCACGCAAGCCGCGAGCCACGCTCCGCAAATCCATTTCCAAATAAATAAATTCCGTCTCAAAAAATGCGCGAACAATTTCGCGCGTCGCGGCGGCGTCTGCATCCAGCAATCAGCGCGCTAAATTCGCTCACATAAAAATCAGCAGTCCTCTCTGATTGCGTTCGAAAAGAGTTCGCCGCTTCTCCCGCCGCCGTTTTCCTTCTCTCGCTGCAACGTCAGCAGCCGTTGGAACAGCGAAAAGAAGAGCGAAAAGAAGAGCGAAAGTCGCGACCCCGCAGCCGCCGCCGCCGAGTCGGACGCGTGGCAGCGAAGCGTCTATTATTTAGAATTCAGAAGGAACGTCGCGCGCGATCCGTTGGATCGGTCTGGCCGAACTCGTTTCTCCTTTCGGATGGCACACGTGGCCGCCAGATGTTGCCCGGAGGGGGAGAGAGAGAGAGAGAGAGCTCTCCGGGAGGGATTTCACCGACGCGCCGCGTTAAGTTGACAATTAACCCTTTGCACTCCGCTGTCCCCTCTCGTGGGACATCGTAATTCTAGCATATCACTCGGATGTCCCCTCTCGTGGGACATTAAAGTTTATTAGTGATTACGGGGAATTCAGTTATTTCAGCGCAACTTTTTGAGGCATGCATGTTTCCCTGAAGTTTTCTCTTGAAATGGCACAAGAAATCAAATCAAAATATAGTAAAATTACTAAGATATATACAAGAAATATCAGCGGGTTTCGAGGAGAACGTGAGAGGCGTGCTCACGACGGTCCGAGCACTTCAAAGGCGCCATTTGAAAAGAGCGATAAGGCAAGTTTGTAGAAGAAAGATCGGTATGCGAACATAGCACGCACTGTATAGTGAGATTTAGAATCATAAAATCTGAAGGAAAAGATTTTCAAAGCTGAACTCGGTCTGGTTTGAAGCGTCGAGCGGTATAGATAGATCTAACGAGTGAGAAAATCGGAAAAGCGATTCTTCTCTTGGTAAATAAATTGTTTGATAAAAGTTTTTTTGGTAAATATCATCTTGTGAGTTAGTAATAACAATTAGACATTTTCAACCTATGTATTTATTCATATTTTTTATTAGAACAATGGCAAAACGTTCGAACACGAATGAGTCTCATGACGCAAGTAGTAGCGAAGATGAGCTCCAGATAGACGTTTATACGGATATGTTAGAAAGACTAACTGTAGAAGGTTTTCTTCTTAGCCGTACCTAAAAGGTTAATCTGAAATCTGCTGAATTCTGCGCGAGGCTATTTCTCTGGACGGCAGAATCTGATGTGTGCTGTACAGAGTCTGATACTGTATATACAGGGTGTCCCAAAAATGTCTCGCAATCCGAAAGTGGCGGGTTCCTCGAGCCATTTGAAGCAACTTTTTCCTTTACAAAAATTTTCTCCGAGGCACCGTTAACGAGTTATCAACGAAAAACAGTGACCAATGAGAGGCGAGCTCGGCTGGCGCGAGGCGATCGAGCCAATGAGCGGAACTGGGCTTCGCGCGCTGGTCGGCTGGGCCGCCTGGCGTCAGCCGTACTCGATTCTTATTGGTCACTGTTTTTCGTTAATAACTCGTTAACGGTGCCTCGGAGAACATTTTGGTAAAGGAAGAAGTTGCTTCAAATGATCCGAGGAGCCCGCCATTTCCGGATTGCGAGACATTTTTGGGACACCCTGTACACTGTTGTAAATCGATGTGAAGACAAAAGAAGTGTGAAACAATGCATATGAAGACGATTATTTGGTTCAAACGATGAGCGAGTGAGCTACTAGAGCAAGCCACTATAGTGGCGTGTCGTTCTGAAAGATGACATCCGCGAAAGCCACTATAGTGGCGCGTCGTGCCTAAAAGGTTAAACGTGGCCGCGCCAGGCCCGGAGACGAGCGCGGCACGCGCGCACCGCTCCCTTCGATCGAAAACTGTGCAGGGAAATGCCGGATCGATAGGGGACCGGCGAGATCTCTCGTCAACAGGTAGCAACCTCGGAAACCGATTAATATGTTCGGAGCTGATGGCCCCATAATGCCGCGCGATCGCGGCACTACGTTCCGGCGCACGATCCGACGCGTTAATTGGCTGCGTGCGGCATCCCTTCGCGTTCTTCCCTCCACGGAAACGGTAATCAATTCCCGTCTTCGCCCTGCGAAATCCACCCCTCCGAGCTGGTCGGAGTTCAGACCGTCGC